TAAATCATCCTCCTTGTTAGGATCATCCTAAATATCATCCCTAAACACCCCGACCCCATTGGCCCTATGTATATTAAAGTATAACATGACTATTGTCACGCTAGCCGCAAGCCGTTATGGTTTTATTTCTAATCCCAGCCTGCTTTTCCGCTAATCGTTTTAATCGGCCTGCATGAGGCGCCTGCGAATGCTCATTTGGTTTTTCCTTCTTTAGGGAATTTATTATTACGGAAAATTACTTAGCTGAAATTAACTGGCTTTGGGATTTTCGTAACATTAAATAAATGTATATAAAAATAAAATATATATAAAAGAATGATTAAATGATTGCAGATCCCACCGCATTGTGTATTGTCCTATGAATAAAATAAATAAATAATGGTTAAAAAGAATTGAGGAATGACAAACAACATAGGTGAAGATCTTTATAAAAATATAATTCACAAAATTATATGTAACAACTTTTTGAGATGAATCTACCTACATCTTTTGGGATATTCTTCATGTTTTATGAACAAAGTAAAAGCAAATAAAACATGAAAAGTTGCTAAGACAATTTTTATGAAAAGATATCCACCTATGTTGTTTGTCATTCCTCAATTCTTTTTAACCATTATTTATTTATCTACATCTACATCTTTTGGGATATTCTTCATGTTTTATGAACAAAGTAAAAGCAAATAAAACATGAAAAGTTGCTAAGACAATTTTTATGAAAAGATATCCACGTCAGCCTTTTCTAAAAATTCCAGAAATTATATATACGACGAAAGTAACGAAAACTTAGCAAGAAACGCAAGAACGTTCATATTAATTTTCAGTCTTTGATGAATGGAAACTGAGTTATGTTGAAAGGCATGTTTATACATATATATATATATATATATACATTTGCCAAGTTTATTCTAAGATACCAAATAACAAAAATTGCACATATCATCATATTTAAAGTAATAATTAAAGTTTCAAGAACGTTATTGCTATAGATTTAACACTATTCACATTTTATTTAACAACTATCGTTTATATACTCATACATATAATAAGTTAATCAAGAATGTTAATGGAAGGTATTTGAACAGACTGTAAACTAAACAATGGCCGATTTATGTCGTCTATCCCGAGATATTGAAGCAGTTAAATAATAAATTCAACTGGTGAATCATCGAACCGATATTGATGCAAAAAAAAACTTGAATTTCAGTTTTATCAGCTCCAGTGCTTCGAGAGCATCGCACAGTTACTGAGATTAACACATATTTTAAAGAAATGATGGAAAGTAATGGCTGTTACACTATTCGGAAATATAATGGAAAACTAAGTGAGCAGACTGGAAATTCACAGTGTTATAATTTATTATTTCTTCCTTCCTATCAAGCACCTAAACGTTTGCTTATCATGTATACTCATAACTTGTTTCGAAAATTATTATTATGAATATTTTTTTCGCATATTTATAATTGTTTCTATAATTTATAAGAGTTTTACATATTTTTCTCGTATACAAATGTATATATATATATTTAGAGTTTAAGTACAGATAACCCGATAAAAATTGATTGAAAACAACTGTAAATTCTATTAGTCTCTTGTTCACAGCAAATCGTTTGTATATTGCCAGAATGCTGCACGTGATGTTATGAAAAATTTGTTGGAAAAATCGCAAGCAGCCCAGCAATTATCTCTAGAAATTGCTTCTGACTTTATTACTGATTACTGATTGTTTATCAACTATTGGTATTACTGGTAATATAATTGCTGATCAGTTAGAAGCCGAACAATTGAGTGTTTGTACATTTCATTGCCATGAAGACCTTAAAAGAATTGAACATTTTCTAGTTGTTATATGCTGTATGGCGAGTGGTCAATTTGGACATGATTTATACATTCGTCCATACACAGCTAACTGGTTGAGCTACAAAGCAGAGTGGCATACATGAAATATGTTAACACCCATCAACAGAGCGTAACAGTAAATTCATTTTATTCATTGATATAATCACAATTGTTGGCGTGAATATAATATCTGATGTGAATTTTAAACCTAAAGAAATTGAAAGCACTTCCAAACAAAACTGATCAATCTGTAAACTGCAGATTCACACCGATGTAATATTAAGATCGGCTACTTATTGCAAACTATGCTTAGGAAGGTTATCAAGATTCCTTCTAAAGCGAAGAATCTTCTTTTATTAAAAAATTTTTTCAGTTTTTCCAGAGGTGGGACATTTAATGTTAATATTGCTGGACAACATTGATTGGATGTCAAAATACGATCTCAATATTATTGGAAGCCTTTCGTTTATATAATGTGAATCAATGGACGAAAGAAGTAAAATTCTTTCGTACTACAAACATTTTTTCATTACAATCTTTTATAATGCATTGAAAATTATATTCATCACGCTTTGGATTTTTTTATATTTGGAGAAAAATTTAGAATATTGAGTGTTAGTGGAAATCTTTAACATTTTCCACAATTGTTTATTGCTTAAGAAAGAATGGCAACGTTTGCAATCAATAACAGAAACTACAACATTGCAGTTCCAAAGACTAAAACGGCAGCTAAAAGAAGCTAAAGAGAGGAAACTATGAACTGAAGCTTTCCTATATATTTCCTCACTATATTCAACCATAGATATTGATATTGTACGCTAAATTTGTCTTTCGGTTTATTATATCGAAAGTGACTATCAGAGATTCAACCAAGTCAAATTTGTCTGTTCCCATTGCGGGTGCTTTCTTGTCAACAGTTGGTAAAGCACTCTACTCCAAGTCTATTCAAATATCTATTAAGGCTACACCTAGCTGCTGCGCTGCACCTAGCGACTGCGACTGCGATTGACGCTACTACTTAACAGAATACTTTGAAGTTTACTTGTGTTACCAACTTAACAAAATACATATGGCCGTTGTTAGATAAAGTAGAGGAGCTTTTAAAACTGCTACTTGTTTGAATAAAAGCGGTAAGAATATACAAATTTTGATCAACAATATAGTCTTATTGTAAGTGTGTTCAATCCCGCTCTGAGTCGCCATAAAAACTTTAAAACAATTCGTTTACTTAATGTACTTTGGAATACTTACAAACATGTATTTAACAATATTTAAGTTTAAAGGAAATAAATTCACCTCACTAAGAAAAGTGTATAAATTAGTCGATTTAATTTTCCTCCTGTAATATATTTATTATATTAGGCGTTTCCGTGCATTTTGGACTAATGGCGGTGATAAGATCTTTTGTGAAGTCGAAGTTACCAATGCAAAATTCGGTAAACCAATTCGATACTGTCCGCTGCGTAATTACTCTAGCATCAAACACATTATTTACGCTTCGCGCTGTCTACGATCGCGTACTACCACGTAAGAACTCCTATTTCAAGACTATCCGACTTTCCAACCAATCCATTATCAAAACAAAAATTGTTTTTAATAAAAGATAACTGTAAAATATTAATATCAAGTCATTGTCAAATAACAAATTTACAAGAACGATCATAAGCATGTTATCTACTTAGAGAAGCCGGTGAACCAATATCGGATAAAGACAAGTAACCACAAACTTCCAGCTTTGAAGCTAAGGTTAAAGACGTTGCATTCTTAGCATTATTTAATGGATAATAAGGTGCAGGCGGTGGCCATATTAAGATTGGACACTCTAAACGAAAATAACCTCCGCATTTCAAAACCACTTTGAACGGTTTAAAATTAGTTTCGCACAGCTTTTCAACCATTTCAAACATGGCAGTACGCCCCAATTCACTTTTGTGTGCAGGTAAAGTATTTTTTAGCAATTCATTGGAATTGTTTTCATTAGTATCCGAGCTGTCTTTAATAGGTCTTGGCGTAAAAAGTTGTCCTTAAATACAATCAAGATATTTAAAACTAAATCAAACAAAAAAATTTGAAAAAAAATACCTTTATACCTTTTATACCAGTATAATCCAACAATTTTTGATATGTCGCTACTGCTCGTGTAAAATAGCCATCACTTTGTATGCCCAAACAAATGAAATTCCACTTAATTATTTTTAAAGGCTTCAACCAATTAAACTCCGCATCAAGTACTTTACCGATGTAGTTTTGCAGAAAAGTGCGTATCGAACTTTTCTGGAACTTCGGATAGTCCCGCAATAGACGGCTTAAGACATAATGGAATTTCTCATTGCAAGTGCTGGACATATTTAAATTGGATCGGATATAACTAATGGAATTACATAAAATTTTGTTAATGCGGAGATATAAGCTATGTCTCATTGACATATAAAAATTCTATACATAATAAAACAGTGATCAATCATTTGTAATTGTGATTTATTGAAAGAATAGTTTTACATTTTCTATAATTCTTGAAATTATTATTTTAAAATATTCTAGATTAGAATTACAGACTAAATCTTATAGACTAAAAGTTGTCTGCTCCGCCTTTTATTTTATTTTTTTTATTTTTTCAATATTAATCTTCTTTCGTGATCATGCATTAACAATCTTAGTAATAATTACTATATTAGTAGCATATTTAATATTTATAAAAAAAGTATTTATTTTTGTTAAAATAGCTATTATAAAAATAAAACAACGATCAATTTTTTTTAATTTTAATTTATTTAAATAATAATTTCACATTTTTAACATGATGAATTTAAATTTCAAATTAATAATAACTTATGCATTCAAACTTATCAGCTTAGCCTTTAGATGTTTTTAGATGTTTTTATTTTTTTTAAACATTGTGTGTGTTAAACGGAACACTTTGCAGCTATCATCAATCTGCAAAGGTTTCCTCTAAAGCAAACGATTTTGAGTCTAATTCCAAATTGAGATTTCTTTCCTTTCAAACAAAGAAAAAGAAAGCAAGGCAAAACCTGGGGAGACATACGTTATTACTTTGGCACAAGGTCTCCACGACTGCCTTTACTCCATACCTCTATACTGGTCTTAAATGGTCTTAAATATATGAAAGATAACAAAAACAGGCCAGAAAATTTTTTTGCTTTTAATTAATCAAAAGTTAGAGCTATCGAAGTAAATGAAAGTGTAGGACAGGTCGGTTCCAATTGTAGAGCTGTAGCCATGCAATTCGCAGAAGCCGTGTATTCTCCCAAAGTTTCCAAAACTTTACCCAATGAAAACCTATCAAAATTTTTGATTTTATTACAATGTAAAGTGGATGATGTTCCAGATAAAAAGAAAAAGAAACAGAAGAGTAGTTCACCATATTCTAGGACAATTTGGATCAAGTTTGGCCGCATCTTTTAATAATTTCTCAGCTAGGCGGTGTTCGCCCAGCATATTATGAGTTTCTCCTAAAGCTCGCAAGGCATCCGTATGATTTGGATTGGCTGCCGTCGCATTCAGAAAATACTGCTTTGCTTCGTGCCATTGTTCCATTGAAGCGCATACTTGGCCTCTCTAAAACCAAAAGAGTTTAATATGGTCCACAAAATTAAAATTAATATGTATGTACCATATACATTATTTGATGCGACAAGGGATATATATATATATATATATATATATTTGTGAGGCTTCATTTATACAATTCATAGCTTCCACAGGTTATTCTATATTTAAATAAACGTCAGCTAATAGCAACCAAATCTATGAAGAAATATGTTCACGCCATGAATAAGAAGCACTTGTAGATTAGGAAAGAACAATTGTATGTTTGCAAATGAAATATTTTACCTTAATTTGTATCATCCAGGGCCTTTGTGGGCCAGGCCGTGGGGTAAAAGAACTTAAAGAACTTGCCGCTTCGCTGAGAACTTGTTCCACACGTGACACTGCCGCCAGAGAAGCCGCATAAACAGAATCTTCAAATTAAAATTTTTGTGCAATTCAATTTAGATATAAAAATTATCTAAGCCAAGTACAAAAATGAATTAGAAAGCATAGGGTGAGACACAAAAGAGGCAAGATTTCCATAACAATTCCAAAAAAGTGGCATGAAAAACTGTAAACTTGCAAATTTAAAGTTAACACAGGAAAATCTGGAAAGTCTTGATACTTCAACTTCATGACATTATTAAATGCAATACAATAAAAAACTCGTGTAGCAGATGAAAAGTATGTGTGGGTTTTAGCAGGAAAACAGTTAAAAAAAAGTTGATTTTGCTTGGTTATAATGAAAACTTACAGTTCAGTATGATTACCCAAAATTTTTTTGGAAATTGAGAGAAAATTGATAAATGATATTAAATACCTTTCACATGTAAAGAATATATATTTGAAATTAAATTAAAAATAATAATATTAATTTAAATTGCCTTTTTTTTATTTCAATAACGCAGATATTTTCCGAAAATGACTAAATATTCAATGTAGACGTGGAGAGCACCTTGCTCTCTAAAGGTACACTTGCGTGCTTTTTGAAAAGTTCAATTATCTTAAATATACTGATTAAACATAACATTAAATCTTAACCAAAACATTTTGTAAAATAAAACGAAATAAGGAAGAAAACAATTTCAACTTACTTGAATCCTTATCTGACATTTGCGAAGACGGTACTTGTAGAATCACACTTTTTGTGTCCGATTGTTTTTCATCTTCAACGGCGACCTAACCCTCATATAATTCGCGCCAGATTGCCAACAAGATTATATATTACATTTCAACCAAACCATTTGTTTGAATATATAT